TTTGTCAGCAAACCACACACGTTTTTATTATTTTCTTGCAATGCTGTCCATCCAAAGGTTGTCTGGAAGAGATCGCTCTTAGCGATAAGACCGCCCATTGTACCACATTTCTTTTTCTCATTTTTTGTTAATATTTTTGTTATTTCTTAGCGTACAATAAAGTGTTATCTATCTATATATCTATTATTAAGTGTATCATTGGTGATAAGTTCCGAACTCCTAGTTCTGAAATTTCTCGGATAATAGTTGATATTACGGATATTACTCACGTTTGTACGTGGTAGAGCCATGCTGCAGCTATATTAGTAGTATAGTTGTAGAACGAATGGGTCGGCTCGACCGGGGAAGGACCACGCTCTCACAGAAAACCAGCGTAAAATAGCAGCTTAACACTGCTATGTTTCGTATGGTGAATGTAGAGAACCGGAGACCCATTTTACTGGAAAAGAGATATTTCATCTTAGTCCTTATGGGTGACAACGCATCTGCATCAGTCTTTATTGAGGATAGATGTAGATGTCTATAGGTCACAGTAACCACTTACCATCAGGTGGACTGTGTGCTCGTTTGTCACCCTATCCTATAAAAAAAAACTCAATCGGAAGTTTTAAAAATAAATTGAAAAGTACTCGATACCTAACAACATCGATAATTTTGTTTCGATATTTTTCTCGGTATTGATAAATCGGATACGATACTGGTATCGAGTAAAGTATCGCTACTTTTGAAATTTTGTAGAATACTAAGAAGAAGAAATACCTAAATAGGAAATAAGGAACCAACTAGACTAGAACTTGAAATTAGAATCCAAAAAAATTCATCCGAATATTCTGCCGATTATACATATCTGAACTGGCAACCCTTTCAGTCTGTTTATGTTTGATAGGGATTTCACTCAAACATTCTGAGGAATACCCTTTAGCTACATTCGTACAACGCGACATTTTAGGGGAATGTTATATATATAAGCAAAATATTGTACTATTTTTCCATTAGTTATTTAAAAGAATCCTAGTAAAAATGTTCTGCCCTAGAGCAAAGACGTATTAAAAAAGATAGACAGGTTACACACTAACATTATTGTATTTTAAAGTGCAGCAGGTAGTACTATATCTACGTACAGTTATTTATTATGACACGTTGCGCTAACAAAAAGAGACAATTGATAGGGCATACCTATCGTTAGAAAAAGAATGACACGTTGCGCTAACAAAAAGAGACAATTGATAGGGCATACCTATCGTTAGAAAAAGATGAATATACATCATTAGTTGCGTGTTGATTGCTTCTGAGCGCTCATTGGCGCGAGCGAGTGACATACCGATATGAAAATGAACACACTAGCTAGGGTCAAAGTTTACACTAGCGGTTAGTGTTGAAATAAAAATAACCAATTATGAACAAAACATCTATATTCAAAATATTAATGAGACGTTTTTCTTGCCTCTAACAGTTGCCGTGTAATTTGTGCACCACCTAAAAACACAGGAAGGCATTTTTACCGCGAATAACTAGAAGATTTACGCGCTGTAGCGAAGGTATAGCCGCGACGCGAGAGCACGCGAGAGCGTGCCCGACTGAATGAGTCGGGCAATTACCTGACTTTCGTATTGCCATTTTAGAACGAGTATGACGTATCTATACTTTAAACAAGTGATTATATTCTCTTTGACTTTAAAAAAATCTTAGCCCTAGAGACAAATTTTCGTCATATTCGTGAATAATGTAGCGGTTAATAAGTGATACAGAATTAAAATGTTTTATCTATTTAGAAAGAAACAGAATAGATTATCTGGTTTGGCTATGATTTCAATAGAACACAAGGTTTGCGACAGTATCAATTTATCAGATATTATTAAAGATTTTGCAGACCAAAAAGTGCGAAGAAAATTACTATAATTACGAGGTAGGATTTAATATTCTCCGAAAAACTGTTTAATTTACGCAATTTAATTTTTTTAAAAATGTCTGATTTATTTTGTCGTAATATAATTGTTTTTTATCAATATTAAATTTTAAAACAAATCTTTTGCTGAGTCTTATTTATACGTACCGTATGAACCTTAACTTAAATACATATGAACCGATTGACCATAATAAACAATTAAACAGCTTGGACCTAATCTAAACTTCTGAAACAATTTTGATGAAAAATGTTTATTGTTCCTTTAGTTAAAGGGTCATCATTTATAGGCAAGATTCATGGAAGTCAATGAAGATTCATGGAAGAGACATGGAAAAATAGCATAAGGGAAAAGAGACCCATAGGCAGCAGTGAGTCGCAATAGGTTGATGATGATGATAAAGTTGAAAGGTACATAACTATGTCGATAAATAGATATATCAATCCATTCAGTAGTTTCTGTGAAATTCTTTAAAAGAAATACATTGTATACTTACTAACATAACACTCATCAACTTTCGTATAGGTACTTCTTCAGAAGACCCAATAGACTGACGTGAATATTATAGGTAGGTATAATCCCACCAATATCACGTATTTTATGTAGGTACTTGTACTTAACATCCCCCAACATAACTAACTCATGACTTTTATGGTTTTGTGTATGTAAAGGGCGGCGAAAATTATCTTTGCCCGGAGCGGCTAAATAGATAGATCGGGCCCTGCTTACGAGTTTCCAGAACATTTAATAATTTCTCTGGGAGTTATCAGATATTCTTTTATCATTGTTATCCGTTCTTTCTTTCTTCTTCCTTTCAACTTCTTTTTTACTCTATTATTTAGACGTCTAAAGACTGCCTTTTTTCTTTCAATCTCATGATTCATATCACCAGAATTACCAGCTTTGGTTGCTGGTAAATCTAAACATGCTCCCTTTTTTGCTTCTACTTCCATCCGTATCTCATCAGTCCACCATAACGTATTATTTTTCGTTTATATTTTCTCTCGGTTTACATTTGTACTTCTCTTTCACGCCGTCATCTTGTAACCTCTCTATTCTTATACGCTGTAACGCGGTGGTAGACACAGATATCCAATGCTGCCAACGTTTGAATAGACCATTAATTCGGCCTAAGACCAAGTAATAATCCGTCCCTCTGTTGGACCCGCGGTAAACCCTTGTATCTACCACAGCGCTTCACATTCTTTCATCCAAAACTATGAAATCTATCACGCTTCTACGAGTATCACCACCTCATTCCCATGTATACATATGAATCTTCTTGTGACGAAAGAAAGTATTTGTCACAAAAAGATTATTTTCCACACATACGGAGAGGGGGCTTTCCTTATTCTCATTTATACTTTCATCACCAAACTTTTCCAATACCCCTTCATAACCAGACCTCTGCAACCCAACCCTTCCTTTAAAATCTCTTAACATAAAATTATTTTCATTTCCCTTATATTCATTAACACCATCCTTACCATCTCCCAAAAGTGCTCTCGGATATAAGTGCGCTTAGATATGTCTGGGGCGTAGACTCCTAGAAAAAACAACTTATTTAAACCCACTTTCATTCGTATCCATAGCAGCCTTGGGCTTACACATTCATACTTTTTCACACGTTGATCAATTTTGTCTGAAAGGATGATACCAACTCTCTGGCATGCCCACTCGGGCTCGTCCACACCAGACCAGTAAGCGGTATACATACAATATGCAGTGGCATCCTTTCTCTTCCATATCGTCTCATTTACACATAACACATCTATTATTCTAGCACACATCATTTCGCATACTACGTCCATCTTATCATTCATTGCCGCACACACATTTACCGTAGCCAGACGGGCTTCCACAATACACTTTTTGCCCCTCCGGGAAACAGAACGTGACGGCTGGTGAATCTCGTCGCCGATTTTTGCTCCCAGTGATTCTTCGCACCTCCTTCGCACAAAATAAAGTTTTATGAAATTACAACATTTGCGAAGGAACACAACAATAATTAAAGCAAATGAAACAAATAAGTAATATTAATAACAAATATTAAATTATATTTATTTGTTAAAAAAATCATAATAATTACACTTATAGGTATTGATAATTCCAATTTAATTATAATTGTTCTTGAAATAAAATTAATCTACAGTCGACTCTCGATAATTCAAGCCTGCGATAACTCGAACCTCTCTATAATTCAAAGTTATCACGAGTTCCCTACAAAATCTCTTCATATTTCGAACTAAATCAATACATTTATATGCACTTGGTAATTCGAACGAAAATATCATTGATACGTAACAAAACGACGCGTTAATTCGAACTCATCGGCGTCAAACACTCGACAATTCAAAGTTGCAGAGAGAAAGGCACTTTTTCTCTTAAAAGAAGTTATTGAGCAGTCTGAGCAACAACGAATCGTTGTCAACGATGTGTTTTGAAGCAAACCAGTATAACAGAGTACTTTCGAAAGATTTATTAATTCACATTATGAATTTGTGCACGAATGTATCTCTAAACTTTTGTCATTGTAAAAGAATAGCAGTTAATAAATAATGATTGATCAACACTTAATAATTCTAAGTTTTATTTATTTTCTCTCAAAAATTTCGAACCATTTGACATTTCAAACACGAGTTAATTCGGGTTTCGAATTAACGAGAGTCAGCTGTAGTACGAATATTCGTAGTTTTTCGATGGAAAATGTTTCAAATAAAATTTGTCGCAAATTTTATGCTCTACAATTTCTGTAATAGATGTTAACATCATTGGAGCAATAAAAACCGAGGTAATCACAAAAACTGTTTTTTTTTTGACCTTTGAACTTGAATTACCGACGCAGACACGATATTTTATGAGACTTGTAAGACAACTTTTAAAACGCCAAAATGAATGAATATACGAAAATTCAGCTTAGTATCTCTCATTCAGAGGTTGACTGCCTTTTTTATTATAGTGACTGGATCTGAACTATATTGTGAAGAGTTTTACTAACAATTAAAACCAGGTTTGTCTGTACGGCTTAAGACCTTTGCCTGCCTTAATTGGCGAATCGTAACGACAACAACGTCAAATTATTAATCTATGGTTAACATGGCGGGTGATGAAAGTGACAGGTATGTAAATATTGAATACCTTTAAATTATTATTTAAAAATCTGCAGTTTTCTTATTTTTCATAAATATAAATGTCATTAATTCGTAACAAAATAATTACTTACTTTGTTATGAATGAATTCTTTCCCTACTGTCTTTAATAATAAGTGCTTTTTACTATTGCTTCCAGTGATCTAAAACCATCCAGTGTAGCTATAATAAGAGAAGTATATGACAGTGAAAATGCTCATATTAAATTTGAAATGGAATTGGAAAGAGCCCTGGAGGCTGGTGTCAGAGTAATCGTTATAGAACCAGAACCACTCGGAGAAGAGACAGCAAGGTGGATCTATGTAGGAAATCTTCTCCATAAAGTTTCTGTTTACAGCGGGCTGTGTAGCATTACCTCAGGTATTCTATTGTTAATTTCATCATGTTTTTATTAAATTAATCTGAATTATATATTCACACTTCAACTGCTTACAAGGTAAAAAAGATTTTGTGTTTTTAGAGCAATATTTTTATCTGCACCCATGAATTTAAATTACGCTAAGGTTTATAAACCGCAACCCACGAATATCGCGTTCATATTTTTTATGTTAGAATGTGGATAGTATAGATGTTTCGAAAGTACAGAAACCCACAGTTTTATTGAGATATTATATTTTTTATAAATTGCAAAAGTATCCACTCAGTCAATTTTTCATGAGATGATCCATAGTTTGGTACGACTTTCCATTGACGTCAGTGGAGTTTGGTGTTGATACGTATTTTTACAGAAAGATTACACTATTATAAGCACACACACAAAGTCTCAATATACGGAAACGCGTAATTTTTGAGAAAAGAATAATTGAAAATCAATTATTCTTGCAATGTTTATGTCTAATCTGCTAATAAACTGGCGCCATTTTGTAATGTCATTGTCGACGTCAATAGGGATGTCGACTCTTTCTGAAAAAGATTGATTTTTTAAATAGATTAGAATTGTAAGCTGATGTATCGATTCCCAAAAAATCAATTTCTAAAATATCGATATTTTTTTCATGTTTGCATTTATAATGTAAATATAAATCCATTTTATGAGAAAAAAATCCCCTTCATCATAAAAAAATAAGAGGACTGATTCATAAGGATTTTTGTATCTATTTTGAGACTGCTACGTCTCCGGCGCTGCGGGAACAGCAACCTCTACGCCTTAGCGTAACAAATCGTAGGCATCGTACGAGCCGGAGCGTCTGAGGCTGGTCGCCGAAGGCGACCAACAAGCCGAAGCTGCGGAGGCGAGGTTACAGCAGGCGGAGGCTGCTTCCCTTACGCGCCTCCGGCTCTATAAAACCACTCTAGGGGTAGGACAGACTCGTACCAGGTGGAGTCAGGGTCAATCAATTCGGTTCTTTGACATAAGTTGAACCTAACCTATTTAATTTGTTACTGCCCTAATAGGTACTGTTAAATAAAACAAATTTCAATAAGAGATCATTTATCATGGTATCTTTCTTGTTTTTTATGAAATGGGTTTATATTTGCATTATAAATAGAAACATTAAAAAATATAGATATTTTAGAAATCGATTTTTTATGAACCGATACATCAGCTTACGATTTGAATCGATTTAAAAATCGACCTTTTTCGGAAAGAATCGACATCCCTATTGACGTCGACAATGACATTACAAAATGGCGCCAGTTTATTAGCAGATTAGACATAAACATTGCAAGAATAATTGATATTCAATTATTCTTTTGTATGATGGATTACGCGTTTCCGTATATTGAGACTTTGTGTGTGTGCTTATAATAGTGTAATCTTTCTGTAAAAATACGTATCAACACCAAACTCCACTGACGTCAATGGAAAGCTAAGCCCATAGTTTTAAACAAGATTGATGGAATTGTAAAAGAGGTACGACTTTCCATTGACTCCCATTGAGTTGGGGGTTGATACGTATTTTTACAGAAAAGTTTTCACTATGATAAGCACACACACAAAGTTACAATATGTGGAAGCGCGTAATTTTTGAGAAAAAAGTTATTGAAAATCAATTATTCTTGCATTGTTTATGTCTAATCCTACAATAAAACTGACGCCATTTTTTTATTGTTATTGTCAGTAGGGATGTCGATTCTTTCCGAAAAAGATCGATTTTTTAAATAGATTCGAATTGTAAGCTGATATATCGATTCCTGAAAAATCGATTTCTGAAATATCTATATTTTTTTCATGTTTGCATTTATAATGTAAATATAAATCTATTTTATGAGAAAAAAATCCCCTTCATCATACAATATAGGGGGACTGATTCAGAAGGATTTCTGTATCTATTTTGAGACTGCTACGTCTCCGGCGCTGCGGGAAGAGCAGCCTCTACGCCTTAGCGTAACAAATCGCAGGCATCCCTTCCTTCTACGATTTGTTACAGCAGGCGGAGGCTGCTCCCCCTACGCGCCTCCGGCTCTTTAAATCCACTCTAGGGGTAGGACAGACTCGTACCAGGTGGAGTCAATCAATTCGGTTCTTTGACATAAGTTGAACCTAACCTATTTTATTTGTTATCTACCCTAATTGGTACTGTTAAAATAAAACAAAATTCAATAAGAGAACATTTATTATGGTATCTTTCTTGTTTTTCATAAAATGGAATTATATTTACATTATAAATGCAAACATAAAAAATATAGATATTTTAGAAATCGATTTTTTGTGAATCGATACATCAGCTTACGGTTTGAATCAATTTAAAAATCGACCTTTTTCGGAAAGAATCGACATCCTTACTGACAACAATGACATTATAAAATGGCGTCAGTTTTATGGTAGGATTAGATGTAAACAATGCAAGAATAATTGATTTTCAATAACTTTTTTCTCAAAAATTACGCGTTTTCGCATGTCGTAACTTTGTGTGTGTGCTTATAATAGTGTAACTTTTCTTTAAAAATAGGTATCAACCCCCAACTCGACGGGAGTCAATGGAAAGCTAAGCCGTAAAAGACACGGTAGTAACTTAAATACAGGTAGATCTTTACCAGGTTATAGGTAACAAGGGTTTAACAGTTATCTGAAATAGAACCTGTATAAGCCAAATTATTAATATAGCTCTAGAAAGACTGCTTCCTCATAGAAACCATAATAACAAATGTTAACTTATGTGGTACATATTGTGGATTGATGAATAATGTAAAGATTCTTTTTAGTTTTTGATTTCATAAGCCTGATTTGCATATCTGTGACATTTCAAATTCTTCTGTAGGAAAATAATCTGGTGATGATTTACTTTTTTAGAAGGAAAGGAGGAAAAGAAGGGAAATCACTAATAATATCACTATTAAATAAATATGTTATTTTTCCAGACAAGATAGTAGTAGTCAAAGATTCAATCAGCTATAAACTTATGTATAGAAATAGCTTGAGTAAGTCAACTTCATATCTGTGATTTAAATGTTTTGCTTACTTTATGACAGAAAGTCAGAAATTCAAAGAACTAGATATTAAATTATATTTAAATTATTTATTTCATCAAATATTAAAATTAATTTTTATGAGCAGTATTCAAAGTCACCTAGTAAGCAACATAATGAATAATAATATAATCTAATATTTAAAAAATAATTTTTGTGTGTTCGTATTTTATGCACTGCCATACATTCATCAGATTGCGGTAAAACTTTGTCAACTTATTGATGGTACATGTGTGAAGGTAATAGGCATGGTACTATTAAATTACAGTAGGTGGCGCGGGTATCGTACTGACAAATTTATTTGATAGGTATACATTATTTAATTCCAATGAATGTGTTATCATTCCTAATTAAACAATATCACTCTTAAAACAATATTTCCACAATTATTTCTTCTGTGGCAGCAACGCACCTGGTACCAGCTAGTTACACAATATAAATAGTTTAGTTTAGTTTATGATGAGCTGTTTTCCGCAACTCCACGTCTAAGCGCGTATTTTGCGTGTGGGCAAGAGTAATGTAATTATTTGAGCCATGAAATCTCCTCGAAGAAGTTCAACAGTCCTTTGATATTGCAAGCAACTTTGGGTAGTGATCCCGGTGGGCTGAGATGCTTAGCCCTGTATGCGGCGATATCCTGACATGTCAGCAGCCATTTCTTCCTCCCCCATTTGTGCCCTGCACAGAGACTATCTGTAACACCTATGGTAAATAAATGTTTGTTAAAGGAGCCATTTCCTGTGATAGCACTTGTTACTATTCTGATCTGTGGCTTGGTTGAGTGACTGTTCATTTCAGGCAGGGCCTCCCTAGCTTGTATACTAGATTTTTCCAAAGCTGAGCATGTTGATTAGTGAAGATTCTTCTTTCTTTCTTTTTTTATGGCGGTTTTTGATTAATCGCCAATGTCAGCGTGGAAGTATTTATTGAGTACAAGCTCAGTAGTTACAAATACTATGCCCATGTACTAAAGAAAATTGTGATAATACAAGTATCTTGTTTTATTTAAACAATTAAATTTTCCTTTTTATCCTGTAATACTAGTGGTTGTACTGTTGAATTACCTAGAACAAATGACAAACACAGTTGCTATAACTACATTAGTATATTAGTATTGACAAACATTAAACTTTTATGCTGTTAGTATTAATAAAATCACACAGAATATATACATAAGGAGTATTTGTGTAGGTTAAAAGTGAATCAAAATTTATAGGACGAGGGGTGTCAGGAGGGAGATGATCATAGAGTGAACAAGATAATTTAGGACAGTTAAAAAAAATATGGTCAGAGGTTCCCTCATCTAACCCACATTCGCAGAGAGATAATGAAGATTCTAGGCACCAGTGAACAAATGTTACCAAAGGGGATTGGTATGATTGGCTCCGGCCCTGTAGTGACCAGAGCCGATCCTCTTCTGTCCACTTTGTCTGCTGCATCATTGCCTCTGGATCCACTGTGTCCCTTTATCCATTGCAGTCACATTGTTGTGTTTACATACATTATATTTAATCATCGATGGCATTCATATATTAGTCTCGACTTTATCACATTGCAACTCACTTGGTGAGCTGGTTGGCAACCGCAGTCCACTAGATGAAGTGACGACCTGGTAAAACATGCAGGAAGTCAATGGATGCAGGTGGCTCGGGACCATGCTTTGTGGTGTTCCTTGGTCTATTTTCAGCAGTGGACTTGTAAAGGGCTGTAATGATGATGATGATATGAGGTGCTGGTGTTAGATAATTTTCAATTAGCTATCTCATTCACCATGTGAGCACATTGTACGGAATGAGTTTACTCACCTATTGGCGGTGAAGGGTTAAATACTAAAAATCTTTTTAATTAAAAGTATTTTAAAAAATGCAAAAACTTTTAAAGCACTAAAATCGGCAAATTCAAATTATATAACTAGTGATCCTGGCTTCGCCTGGGTAGGATGTAATAGTGTGGTGTAAGTTCAAGATAATCAAAACCAATTTTTTTTATAAATTTTTTGATTTATCAAGAATAATACTGCCTATCTTTCAGATAAAATATATCCTAAGTCACTCTTGGCATTGCTCTCGATGTGTTCATGAAGTTTCATTTGTTTTGATCATTTTGAAGATTATCTGAAACAGACATACAAACAAAAATTTAAAAAATTGTTACTCATAGTTTAATGGCATCCAAAAAATAATGTAATCAATTCTTAAATTATTTCCTTTTTTCTTTATAGGTCTAATATGGAACTCATTAGCATGTACTCCATTTGGAATAGTTTCAGTTCTTTGTGCTGGTTGTTATACTTTATCATGGCAATGGGATCCTTGCTGTAAATATCAAGAAGATAAAAACCGCCGACGTTTAGCAACTCTACCGGCACTAAGTGATCTCACATCTGCATCACCAGTTGTCCTTGTACGCACAGACAATAGAAGAAAAATCTTCTTACATAGCTCAATATCTGCTGCTGCAGCTGCCATTTGTTTATGGAGACTATATAACATATTTAAGTAAAAATTATGCTTTTAAGGCATAATTATCATGCTAAAGCTTAGAATAGTGTTGTTTTAAAAAAATCTATATTTATGCCATTAAAAGTTATATAAATAAAATGTTTAAATTACTAGATTGTTATAATTATATTACTAATATTTTTCTTCTCAGCCTTGTGTAAAAATTGTTATAAGTTACATTAGTTGTAAAAAGGTTGCAGTCATTGTATATGTTATTTATAGAACAAGACAAATCCTGTACAAAGATATATTTTCTTTAAACTAAGGTTTTATTAAGTAGACAGATGTAATGTGCATTCAAATGTTACAAGACATGCCAACAGTTGTGACATTATTGTATGCTCACTGTTAACCTATTAAAAACATAAGGGCATTACAGTTTTATTATTTTCATTACTTCGTATAATTTTATTGTGTGCTTAAACTTAAAACTACTTATTTTCTTATCTTATATGTTTACCGAACGATATGTAATTGCGTAGACCGCTATTGTATTGGAGTCTTAATCAGCCCTGTCTCCCCACCATTGCAATGTCAGTAATTTTCATTTAGAAAAAGCCAAAATTAGGGGCTTTTAAGGTGCAGTTAAAAAATTAGGTACTCTAAAATTTTCACCGCAACAAACGAACTGTTGAAATTGACGTTGCTGGCAAAACGTATCGCTTGCAACGCAGTAATGATAATAGATATACGATAAATATTAATAGCAAGAAATTAAGTGCTGAAAGATTATTGAGGTTGGATGTAGATGACGGTAATATTCTGGAAACTATCGGGTCCATATACTATAAGGTATGAACGGCATTTTCTGTTCTTTATCCGTTATATATTATAGACAAGATAGGTCGAATCTGTACTAAAACCGAATCAGAACGCCCCGACTCCACGTAGTCTTATCTGCCCTACCCCTAGAATGTTTTTATAAAGCCGTAAGCGTTTTTTAACAGTGGTAGAGCCACGCGGCAGCTTTTGCTGTCGCACGGATGGGCCGGCTCAAACCGGGGTGGTAGCACGACCTCACAGAATACCAGCGTGAAAAAGAGGTTTACCTCTGCGTTTTGCTTGGTGAGTGCAGGTGGCCGGAGGTCCTTTTTACTGGAAATGAGGCATTCCATCTTAGTCCTCACGGGTGAGAACGCATCTGCATTTTGATTTGTAATAGAGGATAGATGTAGATGTCTGTGGGCCGCAGCAGCCACTTACCATCAGGTGGACTGTGCGCTCGTTTGTCATCCTTATCCTATAAAAAAAGGCGCGGAGGGAGAGCAGCCCCCGCTCGGTGACACCTAATTAGCACCTTAAAATCCCCTAATTTTGGCTTTTTCTAAATGCAAATTCCTGACTTTTCGTTGCTGGCGAGACAGAGCTGAATCTAAGCGAGGTAGCCGAATCCGCGCCAGTCTGTTGTTTATCTTCTGATATTATTCATGTACTATGAAATTATAAACGAGCTTTTAGCTTCTGAGCTTCCACGGTTGTTATACCATTATATTTACTACTAGCTGGCCAGGCAGACGTTGTTCTGCCCTTTTCGACGACCCTTCATATAAAAAATCTTTAAATTTATCAGGATAAAAACTATCCTATCTCTCAAGTTGGACCAAACTGCTCAGTGTGTAAAATTTCATTGAAATTAGTTAGCGGACAAACAACGGGACACGTAATTTTTATATATAAAGATTTATTTAGTAAGGCTTAAATCAAACATAGCACAACAAACATTTGTCGGGAGACGCCTAAATAACTAACAGAACTTAGAAAAATCCAAGTTTTTTTGAGAAACAAATTTTAAGTAGTCATTGTTTCTTACTCAGTTTTAGTAGTCTCGAGTAACAAAGGTTGAGCGCTCGCTCTAAATAACATAGTACGTGAGCAAACCGGATTGGATCCCCGCGGACACGAAATAAATAATTTAAAATTATTATTGTTAAATGCAATTTTAAGTGCTGATTTACCACGTGTGCCGTGTAGTGGCGGTCAAGAATATCCACTACCCCATATCCTCCCGTGGGTGTCGTAAAAGGCGACAAAGGGAAACAGCCAGGAGATGGGCAGCAGCATCTTCCTGATAATAGCCAAATGACAATAAAAAAACTGCGGTTGCCAACCCGCTCGCCAAGCGTGACAACTATGGCAAATACCCCCCAATGATGAGAGCAACAAAAAAACGGCCCCCAGTCCCCGGCGGCCCCGCTATTCCTGGCTACGGTGGCGACCATGGTAACGGCGGGGCAGGGGGTGCTAAGAATCTCCGGTGGAGGTTCAGTTGCCACCTTAGACGACTCGACCTGGCAACGTACAACGCACGCACCCTGAGGACTGACGAGAAGATCGTGGAGCTGGAAGAAGAGATAGACAAGTTGCGCTGGCATATTATAGGATTATCTGAAGTCCGAAGAGAGGGGGAGGACACGGTAATCCTCGAATCCGGCAACTTGCTCTATCACCGGGAGGGCGACCATCTGTCCCAAGGAGGTGTCGGATTTATCGTCCACAAGTCTCTCGTTAACAACGTTGTAAAAATCGGGAGTGTGTCGACGAGGGTTGCGTACCTTATACTCAGAATCACCAAACGGTATTCGCTGAAGGTCATACAGGTTTACGCACCAACCTCGGCACACCCCGATGAGGAGGTGGAGGAAATGTATGAGGATATCTCTAGAGCCATGCATTCCTCCAAAACCCAATATACGGTGTTAATGGGAGACTTCAATGCAAAACTAGGCACAAGAGAGAACGGTGAGCTGAAAGTAGGGAAATTTGGAATAGGGCAACGGAACCCAAGGGGCCAGCAGCTGGCCGACTTCATGGAGAAAGAGGGACTCTTTATGATGAACTCTTTCTTCCAGAAGCGGCCCCACAGGAAGTGGACCTGGTCGAGCCCCGACGGTTCCACAAAAAATGAGATTGACTTCATTATGACGACCAGACGACAACTGTTCAGTGATGTCTCCGTGATCGCGAGGGTGAAAACTGGTAGCGATCACCGAATGGTTAGAGGCACACTGAACCTAAACGTTAAGTTGGAGAGGTCTCGTCTAATGAAGTCAACGCTCCGTCCCCCTCGTGCTCTGTTTCAAAGTCCCGAAACCTTTCAGCTCGAGTTACAAAACCGTTTTCAGTGCCTAGAAGACTGCAATGAAGTGGACGATATGAATGACAAGCTCGTGGAAACTGTCCATGCGGTTGGAGCTAAGTTCTGCAAGACCCGCCGCAGAAGAACACAAAAACTCTCCGATCACACTCTTAATCTCATGGCTGTTAGACGGGAGATGAAGCTACATTCTTCAACAGACTTGACAGCATATAGGCATCTGAACAGACAGATCTCCAAATGCATGCGGCGGGACTTACGCAACTTCAATACAGCTCGTATTGAAGAAGCGATCGAGCGGAACCAAGGCTCCAAAGTCTTTGCCAGAGATCTGTCTGCCAGAAAGAGCCAACTGTCAAAGCTGAAGAGTGAGAATGTGGCAGCATCGTTTCCGGGACACCTGAGATTTTGAGTGAGATTGAGAGGTTCTATGGGCAGCTGTACACATCATCGTTGGAGCCACACGCAAGTGTGAGTAACGATCCAAGAGCGAGTCTCATCCGACACTATTCCGAAGATATCCCGGATGTCAGTCTGAGCGAGATTAGGGTGGCTCTCCAGCACCTTAAAAACGGTAAGGCCCCAGGCGAGGATGGAATTACAGCGGAGCTTCTGAAAGCGGGTGGAAGACCGGTACTTGAAGTCCTTCAGAAGCTCTTTAATTCCGTCCTCCATGGTGGCATTACACCGGAGGCGTGGAGCAGAAGTGCGGTGGTCTTGTTCTTCAAGAAAGGTGACAACGCTCTCTTGAAGAACTACAGAGCGATTTCCCTTCTGAGCCGCGTCTACGTGCTGTTTTCGAGAGTCATTACGAATCGTCTCGCGCGCAGACTTGACGACTTCCAGCCTCCCGAACAAGCCGGTTTCCGAAAGGGCTTTAGCACCATAGACCACATACATACCCTTCGGCAAGTTGTACAGAAGTCCGAAGAGTACAATTTGCCACTATGTCTGGCGTATGTGGACTATGAGAAAGCCTTTGATTCCGTCGAAATTTGGGCGGTGCTGCAGTCCCTTCAGCGGTGCCAAGTTGACTGTCGGTATATCGAAGTGTTGAAGTGCTTGTACAGTAGGGCTACGATGGCTATCCGAGTACAGAACCAGAGTACGAAACCTATCCAATTGCAGAGAGGTGTAAGACAGGGTGACGTCATATCCCCGAAACTCTTCACCGCTGCATTGGAAGACGTTTTCAAGCTTCTGGACTGGAAAGGATACGGTATCAACATCAATGGCGAGTACATCACTCACCTTCGATTTGCCGACGATATAGTCCTTATGGCAGAATCGCTGGAGGACCTAAGCACTATGCTCAATGACCTCAATAGTGTTTCCCAACGGATAGGTCTTAAGATGAACATGGACAAAACTAAGATCATGTTTAATGTCCATGTCACACCTATGCCGATAGTTGTTGGGAACACTAAGCTCGAAGTTGTTGACGAGTATGTTTACCTGGGACAAATAGTCCGACTGGGTAAGTCCAACTTCGACCGAGAGGTCAATCGACGGATTCAACTCGGCTGGGCAGCGTTCGGGAAGCTACGACACATCTTCTCGTCAGACATACCTCAAAACCTTAAAACGAAATTGTACAAGCAGTGCGTGTTGCCAGTGATGACTTACGGAACTGAGACGTGGTCCTTCACTGCTGGCCGTATGAGGAAGCTCAGGGTCGCTCAGCGAGCTATGGAGAGGGCTATGCTCGGAGTTTCTCTGCGTGATAAACTTAGGAATGAGGATATCCGCAGTAGAACCAGAGTGACCGACATAGCCCAACGGATTAGTAAGCTGAAGTGGCAGTGGGCCGGCCATATAGCTCGAAGAACCGACAACCGATGGGGAAGAAAGGTTCTCGAGTGGCAGCCTCGTACCGGTAGGCGAAGTGTAGGGCGTCCCCCCACGAG